AGAGGAGAGTGTGTGTGTGTGTGTGTGTGTGTGTGTGTGTGTGTGTGTGTGTGTTCATAATTTAAAAAAATAGGACCACCTGCCCTCAGGCGGCAGGGTGGGCAGAAGACACCCAAAGTCCTGCCCACCCTGCCCACCCTGTCACGATGGGCAGGGGGAGCCACTATGATGTGCAAGTATGTGGTGGAGAGATGGGAGACAGGGAGAAACAGAACAGTTTGAGCCATATGAAGAGAGGCAGAACTGGAGGTGTGAGGGTGGAGAGGAGCAGCCTGCCGTGAGTGACCAGCCCTGTCGCTGAGGCCACGGTGAAGTCCTGGCTCATGCTCAGGACTTAAAATCCCACCAATCCTCACGCTGTTGTGCAGACACAATAATGAAATCTTCATTTCTTCAGGGATAGTGTGCTACAGTTATAAAAGTGTCCAAAATGGAAAATACAGTGAAAGGACGGATAAGCTCTCTGAATCACTTCTCACAAATGCATGTGAATCTTTATAGAAAATATAAAAGTTGTATGGGGATAAGAGAAGATAGCTTGAAGGTTCAGAGGAGATGCCATCTTTACCTTTGATGCCCATGGCCTGTTCTGGAGTATGTTTCTTCAATAGACCAGAGAGCATGTTCTGGTGGAGTGGTAGGATGTCATCAATGAAGAGACTCTGGCCAGCTTGAGTGTGGGTAGTGAGGCTCTGGCAGGCCTTGTCCTCCCCCTCAGCATCCCCCTCATTCCCTTTGCCTTGCTAAAAACTGTTAGATTATATTCCTAAAGTTAGCCTCCAGGGTCCATTCCCTTATTTGGCCACTTCCTCCTCCTGAGGCTGACTACTAAGGCCCAGCTATCAAGGTATTGAAGACCAGCAATAAAAAGCCCCCTTCAGCTCACCTAATTAGTAGGTACAATAAAATTAAACACCTCATCCAGACACGGGGTTTCCCCTTTTGCCTTTATAAATTGTCATTTTCCTGTGGGCCACGTCTGTCTTCTCTATCCAGAGGCAATCCTTTGTCCCTCTGGGACAAATACCCCTCCTCCCTCTCCCTTGTTCTCTTCCCTTCTCTCTCATCCACTATCTCTTGCATTTGTCTCTTATTCCCTGCCCTCTGTCCCTCTGGGGCAAATAAATCTCCCTTGTGCTGAGAACTTGGTCTTGGGGCTCCTGAGTCAATGCTGCTCCTTTCAATCAGTGCCTTCAGAATGTTTGAGCTCACTTAGTTCCTATGTGCATACTCCTCACGGTGAGACTGAGCTCGGGGTAAGCTCTGAGTATGCCTGGAAGGCCTAGATCTTGAGAGAGCAGAGCAGGTGCTCACACCGGTGGGTGTCACCCACTGCTGCGCTAGGCTGAATGTCAGGTGCTCAGCTGTGTTCCTT